CAATCTTTGGGTTGCTAGATGTTTGCATTATATGCCCACTGATCCACTCCGACCAACCACCTGACTTTCGTTTTTGCCTTAAGTAACCATCTGTCTTATGTAGCCATACCAAACGTAACATATCATACTAATTTCAATGGCCCGAATTTACATTTACTATGTTACGTCTAGTCTATGAGACAAGGCTGCCCGATTACATCCCTACTTAAGTAAATATGAACGTAAATATCTGCATGTATGAGACAGGGCAAGGTGAGACGCTCAGGTATATATTTTAATCAATTCAAGATAGGAAAGCGGCGGCGCTTTTGATTGGCTGCATACGGAGGTGTGTCTGTGTGTTTGTGTTCAACATACGCAGCACACTATGTATGAGATATGAATGAACTACTAGCAGCATGAAGGAGAACCAACCATTAGATTTGTCATTTCACCTTGCTTAAAGGTAGACTCCGCGATACGACGTAGATGCAGAAAGTAAACAACATATTGTTGAAGCACTAGGCTCAACTTCTCCGATTTTTCGGTCGCCTGGCTACCACGCTGTACACAGCGTGACGCAAACCCGTGCACACGCGCAGATACAAACCCGTGCACACGCGCAGATAGATACCGTGTGAGCGCGAAGTCAAAGACAGTGCAGTATGAAGATAGAAATCCCCGAGCACACTTGTAGGTGATGTCATGGTGACGTTGGTTATCTAAACTCATGTTTAGAAACTTGTCATCTGTTCTAACAGTCTCTCGCACCGAACCGCGCATGCGCAGGCCGTCAAATCAAAGGCACACCTTTAATATAGTTGGTTTTGACAAAAATGAAAACGTGTCAGTTTGTCACTTTCACGAGGTTGGAGTAATAACATGTTCAACTACTTAAGATATTGGCTCAAATTTAGGTTGTGCCTTTAGATTTCGAGAAAATGAACAAGGAATAATTTTGTACTTCTCTCATTGACTTCTCAAACGACAAACCTCGGCCTGGTCTGTTTCACAAGCGTTCCCTGAAGTCTTGCGATTTTGCGCCTCTGGGTTTAGAAACTCTGTGGCGAAGTGTTGAATCTGGCGACTACCCCCTCTCACTGAAGACACGGAAGTTGAAGGCCTACCGCAGTACTGCAGGCATTGTTAGCAGATAACAGGATCCCCCATTATAGTGAATGAAAAAATGCCAATCTTCGTGGTCAATCTTTGTGTAAATAAATAACACATTTGAAGACAATCATGGTAGCAATAATATATTCGAATACACCCAACGTGTCCTTGAACCGATTATCTTTTAAATCGCACACAGAATAAGTTATAAGGATAGTTTAGTTGCTAATGGCAGCCTGCAGTACCCTGGTTGGCTTTCAATTTACATTTCTCAATGAGAGGGGGCAGCACTGAGCTAGCCTGCAATGTCACTTCCTGGAGTAGCTCAAACTGCACATGTTATGTCTCCATGAGACCCCATCTTAACGGACTTAATTTGGCTTCAATGTGCTGTTGAGTCTTCACATACGAATGATGTCACGTGATCGATGGCTTTGTCCATTCATATATAGTCATTGCTCTTCACCAACTTCATCCTGCAGCCATCTCCTGCATTGTGGGAGGCTCTATTGTCAATCAATCATTAGGGTGTTTTAGTTTGACCCACGTGAACATGACCAAAAACATGACTGAAACAGGAACCAACTGGAATGCAGTGTTTGGTTTTTGCCAGGCATAATGGGACCCATGCCATGCAAAAAGTTATACTTTTGACTCATCTGTCCATAGAACATTCTTCCATGAGTCTTGACAATCATCCAGGTGCTTTTTGGCAAACAAGTCAACATTTTGGGCGAGACTGGTCCCATTATGTCTGGCGAAAACCAAACACTGCATTCCACAGTAAGAACCTCATACCAACGGTCAAGCATTGGTGGTGGTAGTGTGATGTTTTGGGAATGCTTTGCCTTAATTGAAGGAACCATGAATTCTGCTCTGTATTAGAGAATTCTACAGGCCATCCGTCTGTGAGCTGAAGCGCAGCAAGACAATGATACAAAACACACAATCAGGTGTACATGAAAATGGTTAAAAAGCAACAAATTTGACATTTTGGAATGGCCTAGTCAAAGTCCAGACCTAATCCCAATTGAGATGTTGTGGCAGGACTTGAAGCGAGCAGTTCATGCTTGAAAACCCACAAATGTCGCTGAGTTAAAGCAGTTCTGCATGCAAGAGTGGGCCAAAATTCCTCCACAGCGATAAGAGAGACTGATCAACAACTACAGGAAGCATTTGGTTGCAGTCTTTGCAGCTAAAGGTAGCACAGCCAGTTATTTAGTGTGAGGGGGCAATTATAAAACATTTTACACAGGGGAATTTGGTGTTTCATAACTTTGTTAATTAAATGAATAAAATAACTTTTTTGTTGTGTTATTTGTAAACTCAGGTTCCCTTTATCTGATATTAGGTTTTGGTTGAAGATCTGATAACATTCAGTAACAAAAATATGCAAAAAATAAAATCAGAAAGGGGGCAAATACTTTTCCCCAGCACAGTATATGTACAAATGAATGTGATACCAATTTATTGTACAATGTACACACATATATTTTTAGTTTGTGAGTGTGTGATATGTAGAAATGTTTATTTCGACATTATAAAGAACAACTTTTATAAACAATGGCAACAGTGCCATGTTGCACGGAGCCTTACTGTTGGAAAAATCACATCAGTGTCTGATTTTTGGCTGTCGCAGATTCACCTCCCGACTTCAGTGCTCAACTTTCGTCTACAGTCAGTTGCTTTTGCCTCTACCACTCAAAACGAGCTCAATGTCTCCGGTGCTGCTCGTGGCAACGTCATTTCACTGAGTCTACCTTTAAGCAATGTATTGGGCTCTATGGTAGTAGAACCTGGCTGAACCCGATTTGAGGTAGCTAACAAAAGCCTTTATTATGAGTTGAAGGCAGATGGCACACTTACTGTATGTACAGTTGTATGCTCAATAACATCATACGACACTATCAGCAACATCTAGGAGGATATGACCTATACATGTGGTAGAGATCAGTTGCATTGTAAGAATATAATATAATATGCCATTTAGCAGACGCTTTTATCCAAAGCGACTTACAGTCATGTGTGCATACATTTTTACGTATGGGTGGTCCCGGGGATCGAACCCACTACCCTGGCGTTACAAGCGCCATGCTCTACCAATTGAGCTACAGAGGACCACCCATACAGACAATATATGCATCAACTTGACTACAGCAGAGATCCTAACATCCAAAAGACGTGTAGCACACTGTAGCAAAATGCTTTGTAACGGAAAACGTTTTGCAACAAAAATGAAAGTTTTTAAAGTTCAGCTAGGTCCTGCCCTGTTTCGGCCCGTTTGCATCCGTTTGGATCCTAGTGAATACACACGTGGTGTATGACTGCAGGTCCACCAATAACAGACACGTTCAAAAGTCCATAATAAATAAATCCATCAAATGTCTTACGAAGATTTAATGTACATTTATTCGTAACACGTGGAACATATAGTATAAAGATTTCATAATGAAGAAATGATATTCAATAAGCCAAAAAAAAGGAAAAAATAGGAATTTACATCAAGTTTTTAGCTACATCGTCTGAAATACAAATATGCAGAATCCATATCACTGGAAAAACAAAAGAAAACAAAAAAACTAAATTCAAACGTTTTATTTCTTCATCAGGGGTCTTGCTTTGTTGATGTAGGAGCTGAAATGGAACCGTAGCAGACATGGCTTCTGTCGTGTTAGACTCAGCGGTACTGGAGACAAACTTGATCTGTGTGTGTCGCGGGGGTGTGTGTGGGATGAGGCGTTGCGAGGGAGTCCCTGTAGCGAGAGACAGGCGGGTGGGTCGGGGGTGAGGGGTCAAACGGTTAGGTAATCCCATGGCGAACTTGATGCAGGGAATTTCACTTGAGTGTAACCTTTAATTCATCTAAGATTAAAAATGGTGAAGAGCAACAAAAGGGTTAGAGAGAAAGAGAGAAGAGAGAGGTGTAATGTACAACATTATATATACACAGCAGTCGGGACTGCGTCTAGAGTAGAGGAGCAGTCCTAAGAGGGGACTTCTTTTATAAGGGTCAAGTCATACAATCGAGGGACAAAGAGAAGAGGTCGGGGTGTTGTAAGGTTCACGATACTTTGGGGGGAAAGCCTTTTGTCATCTCTCTCAGTTCAACATTAAACTAAATTCATTTTTTAAAACTACAGTTTGCTGCCAAGCCAGCGTATCTCAGTGTGAAACAGTATTATTACAGTATGTTTACAGTTGTTTTTAAGGTGTACAGTACAGGGAAAAAAAGTCCTACAATCTACTGCACAGGCCTCCCCGTTGAAGATGTCCGTCTGTCTGTTCACAGCTGATAACCTGGGTCCTGTAGGGCTGAGTATATAGCATCCAAGTTACAGCAGTATACCAAACCAGAGTCCAGGAGTCTGTTCCACCGTACATGAACCAAAAACGGGTTTTCCCTGTCCATGCCCGCCCTGCTCACCCCCCTGCCAACTCCAAGGGAGGAGAACCTGGGCACATATATCCCCCAAACTCACTGTAAATGAGACAGCAACTTTGGTTACAGTTTTTATGTTTTCTTTTTTGTGTCGATTTTTTAAAATCTTTTCATTAAAAAAAGTTGTTTCCCGCAGGGCAGCTCTCTCCCTCCCTCCCAAGCCAGGGTTCCATCTAATCTGTTTTATCACATCATATCCACGTTAGTTTCTCAGTTTCCGTGTTCCAGAATGATTAACTCCACCGCTACTTCAGTAAATCCGTCCTTTAAGTGAGAACCAGGGGGGTAGAAAGGACAGACAGTGGAATCCGAGGTGACTTTGCATAAATAAAAAAAAAGGACAGTCAGTTTTGCTCTTAGTTTTCCCACTCACACTCAACAGACACACCAAAAAAATAAAGGGGGGGGGGTGGTGAAGAACGGGGTGGGGGAACAGAAAGAGAAAGCGAAGCTGAAACCCCCACGGCTGTCATGACTGGCCAATCAGAAAGAGTACGTCACAGATCACATGGGACACCAGAGAGTTCATGAGTGGTGAGACAGAGATGTCCAGTAGGCGGGACTCGTACAGGGTGAACTCTGAGTGGTTCTCCTCCAACTTAGCCATGGCGTGCAGGGCGCGGGCTGCTCGCCGCATCATGTCTACACTGGTGGGCTCAAAGTGCGCCCCCTGTAGGTGTATCAGGGAACTCTGGCTCTGCTGGTACTGCGTGGCCGCTAGACTGTCCTCCAGGAAGCCCAGGAGGTTACCTACGCTGGCCTTCTGCACAGCGATGGCCCTAGCCGCCATGCTGTCTCCCTGGGCCAGGTTGGCCAGTAAGACCACAGACATTTCCCTGCAGACGGCCACCTTCCTCTCTCCGACCAGACGCACCAGCGTCCCGTACAGCTTCTCCAGCCTGCTGAATGGCGGCGTGGCCAGGATAAGGTCCACATTGTTGTCCTGGATGCTCAGCTTGCTGAGGGTCTCCAGCACCAGTCTCTGGGGGGATAGGGCCCCGTGGGGCCCCAGCATGGGGAAGGGGTCCAAGGCCTCAGCTGAGGGACAAACAGCCCAGTGGAGCAGGCCGTCCAGCAAGGGCAGACAGATGCTCTCTGGGTAGATGGACAGGTCCAGCTGGCCGGAGATGTTAGCCAGAGTGACCAGGCAGTTCTCCCTGAGGACCTCCAGACAGTCCCACCACCACTCGTCCCTCTCACAGCTCACCCCCTCGTCCTCCTCCTCCTCCTTCTCGTAGGTGACGGGGGCCTGTTTCCTCTCTGGGTGGCGGTGGTGGAGCAGGACCAGACGGCCCAGCAGCAGCAGCAGCCCCGGGTGTTTGGACATCTCCAGGTCGTTGCCGGGGATGAAGGAGAGCGATCGGACGATGTTGGAGATGCAGACGCAGCGGCGGGCCAGGGCATCCTGCCAGTCAGACAGCGTGCTCAGCGGGGTCTCGTCCTTGCTATGAGGCTCGTCCTCCAGGATGGTGATGTTGCGTCGGCTCTGCTGCGCCTGGCGGATGGAGAACAAGAACTTCCCCCCATTCACCTTCTGCTCCTCGGCTGCTCCTCGCACAGCCTCCTCCGTCACCGAGCCCGGCCGGGCCGACAGGACGTCGTCAATGGTGGCGGTGACCGGGGCGGGCGTGGTTGGGGCGGAGGTCTTGGTGGTCTTCTCTGCAGGGGAGATGTTCTTCTCAGGGTGTTCTGACACCGTCACCTTCTTCCTGCTCTCTGTGGCTGACGGCGACACCCGTTTCCGCTGCTTGAGGAGGTCAGACCGGCTCTCGAAGTGGGTCTGGATGTGTTCCGTGGTGTCCCCCCCACCGATACTCCAGTGGATCAGTCCGCTGTCGAAGCTCTGCCGCCGGCCTAGCTTACTGGAACGGCAACCGGGAAAGGGGTCTTTCTTACGCACCATCTTGATGGGCAGCTTGTCAAACTTACTGGCCTGTTTGGGTTTCTCCTGGGGGAGGCTGGAGTCCTGAGGCGCAGAGGAGGAGGAAGAAGACTCTCCTCCTTCCCGCTCCTCCTCTGCTGTCGACTTCTCTGTTGTGGATTTCTCCTCTTTCTCCACCTCCTCCTGTTTCACCTGGACCTGCTGCGATGAGGTGGTGGTGTCTGCGTTGCTCTTCCTCTCCTCCTCCTCTTCATCCTCCTCTTCTTCCTCGTCCTCCTCCATGTCCTCCTGCTCAGGTAGCTCTTCATCGGAGCAGTCTTCGTCGGCAGCATGCGGGTCAACGAGCGTCCGCTGGCCAGGGTCTCCCACCTCATACTCCTTCAGGATGCCGAAGATCTCGATGAGGCAGCGTCTGAAATACTCCACTACCAGCTCCAGGAACCCAGGCAGCTGAGAGGAGACAGGATAGGACAGGCTGTAGTTAGACATCCACATCAATGACAAATATAATCACGCATTAATTCCTTATTCAGAGATGTGATCAGGACAACCTAGAAAATCTGGATGGAGGATAATGTCAGACAATACATATTGACATTTTGAAGTTTTATTGGAATGCTTCTTAGAGAAGAACACTATCAACTGGTAAGATAACTTCAAAATGTAATATTTTTTAAGTATAATATTAATATAATAAAATAATTATGGGTGTTTCATTCTAAGGCCTGTTGTTGTAACTCACCTGACAGAGGTTGAAAGTAGAAATGCTGTTGTCATCGTACAGTAGAATATTAATGGTGTCCAAGGCCCAAGTGCTCTCAGCTAGTAAGCCTGACTTCAGTGACATCATCACTCTCCAGGCCTCTGGGGTGCCTGAGAGAACACAGCAGAAAATACATCAGTGACTGATACAGGATGATGGCACCACTTTACTAGCATTAGATCACTTGAAAATTACAAATAGTTAGTAGTATAATAATAATAATAATAATAATAAATAAATATATATAAAGTGACTTTGTGCAAAGGGTCTGCTAACATTTAATCTCCTGAAAATGGCAAGTTTTGGGTGAAAAATCAGCCAACACTTGCATACCGATGTCTTTCATGGTGAGTCGTCCTCGGGGTTTGAGGATGGGTTGGGAGGCCTCCACCGACCCTGGGGGGAAGGCTATGTCCCGCCTGATGAGAGGGGGCTGCACAGGGGCCTGGCCTATGTGGGACGCGGGCACGGGGGGCCCCGCCTTCTGCATCTTGATGCCTGAGTGCATGTAGGGCGACTTGGAGGGGGACGTCCGGCTCTCCATGGGGCGGGGCATGGGGGCGGGGCTCGACACCTGGGAAATATGGTTCTGGGAGCTCTGATAGTTGGACTGCAGAGGTCTGGACATGGGGGGACCCGAGCCCCCCGGCCCCGGCCCGTAGGGGGATTGTCTCTGGCTGGGGTGTCCCGGCCACTGGCCCTCGTGGTTAATCCGCTGGTCGGCCCCTGGCATCATCTCCTCAGAGCGGTTCATGCTGTGGTAGCCCTGGGGGGGCCCCTGGCCAGGTCCTGGAGGCCCCTGGCGGTTGGGGTAGTTGGGGTAGCCCATCTCGTTGCGTCCCTGCCACATGGGGCCCTGAGGACCGTCAGGGGCCACCTGCATAGGGCTGCCCATCATTTGGGGAGGCATGGGGGACTGGGAGCTTGGGCCCCCGCTAGAGGGCCCCCGGTCTCGGCCGAAGGGGAATGGGAACTGGCCCTGGGGGCCAGGTGGTCGGCGGTCAGAGCCGGGGTAGCCTGCGTTGTACTGATTGTACATGTCCTGTTGGCCCTGTGGGGCCCCAGAGGGCTGGGGCCCTGGCTGTTGCTGACCGCTGAAGGGGACATTGTACATCCCATCCCCCTCATGACGCTTTGCTGGGGGACCGTAGGCCCCATCGCCTGGAGAACGCTTGTAGTTCTGAAGACAGACAGACACATTGTTAGCATCTCAATATCAAACTAATGGTATTGATTATGAATTCAATACATTTCAAGTTATTATATATATATATTTTTTTTCCCCCAGTCATATCGTATCAATATAACATACCACATTCATTACACTGAATAAGTTATACTGATAAATGCAAGTCCATTTTAACTGAACATTTACAAGGCTTCTGAAGCAGATATGGGTATACAAAGAGAGCAGTGGACAAAATGTTCTTACGGGTTGTTGCTGTGGAAACATTCCTGGCTGCTGATTGGGGTAGGGGCCACCAGGTGGCGCTCCTTGGCCAGGGTACTGATTACCATAGGAATCATGCCTGAAACAACATGCAAGGTTAACAAACTAACACTTTGGCAATTGAAATGCAGCAGAACTTATCGAAAATAACCTACACAGAAAACACAAAATAAGAGAAAGTAAATGCTTGAATAGATCACATAAGCTCACACCGAGATCAAATCCTTCTTGAGAAAATACAGTAACTATTTAACATGTAGAAGATCCATTATGTGACTTAGCCCAGTTTGAGGTACTGACCGTTGCACTGGTGGGGGTCGGCTGGGGGAGTACATCCCAGAATCAGCCCCTGAAGGCATCAGGTTGGGCTGGGGGGCTCCAGGACCCATACTTCCGTCAGGACCCATCCCTGGCTCCTGTCTCCTGTCATATCCAGGTCCGTAGGGGTACTGTTGTCTCTGACCCATCTGCATGTTGGGGCCCATTGGCCCTGGGGGGCCTCTGTTGAACTGCCCCTCCATACCACTGTTAGGGCCCGGCCCTGGAGTCATGAATTGCTCTCCAGCTGCAGAGACACAAAGAGTTTGGGTTAAATCTGTCTCCGCACCACGTGCTCTCACCACTGGTGTCCCCCAGGGCTCAGTTCTAGGCCCTCTCCTATTCTCAATATTGTATGGGACAAGTTTGTCTAGGCCACTTAGCAGATGCTGTGAACCCACAAAGCCACAATCTTGGTGTTGCTAGCTCCACATTCTTAACCAACTGAGCCACACATGATCACACAGGATGATAGACAATATACTCCAAGTCTTCGTACAGTATTCTTGTACAATTTCCTGTGACCTCCAAATAAAATGTCTAAAAGCCAGTTAACCCATTGCTCACCTTTCCTCATGCCACCAAAGGGGTCCTTGTTGGGTTCGTAAGGCCCCATGCGGGCCATCATCTCTGGACCACCCATCCCAGACTGGTAGCTGTTGGGGGTCATAGAGTTCCGTCTGGCAAACGCCGGGTCGCCCCCGTCTGCAAACGGGTCCTGCAGCCTATAGGGAAGGGAGATAGAGAGAGAGAAAGAGAGAGTTAATTACCCACAAAATAAACAAGCTAAATATTGCTTTCAATTGTGTTGTTAATCAGTTTGCTTCCCCTTGAATGGAAAAATCTATTCTGTTTTTGTTACCAACTCTTCTTCAGTGGAAGAGATGAGATTGTTGTCAGGTATAGTAGAGAGTGAGAGGATGTTTTGAGACAGTGGTAGAGAGAGTGTCATAGGTACCTGACTCCTGGAATGGGGGGCATCTGGCTGTGAGGGGTGGAGGCTGGGGTGGGGGGCTTCAGGTCCCCCCCCTCTGCCATGGAACTACTGGTGGACTGGGGGGTCTGGGGGCCCTGCAGAGATCCAGACCCAGCTGCAACACACACAGTAGAGATACGCACATTTTAGACAAATCCCACACAGCCTCAGTGGTAGTATAGAGGCTCACAGTGAGAGAGATCGCCTCAGCCCAGTGTTGAGGCTAAACCTCTCTCTCAAATCCCAGACTGCACACACAGTGCACAGAGGAGTCAGGCTGGCTTTGGGCACCCACACACAGAGGAGCTGAATCCTTCATCTCAGCATGCCTAGCTGCCGGTATCACAAAGTCACCAGGAAACAATGATCTAAAGTCAGCCTCCGTCAGATTACCACATGGCCCAGTGTGTTTGTGTTGCATGGCATGGGGGTGGCTCTCTTCCCTTGCCCGGCTCAGGACTTCTCACTATTAGCACGCCTGTCTGATGAGTCATGTGTTCCATTCATTAACACACACACAAACACACACACAGGAGGTCATTGGCAGGTCACAGTTATTCACATTTTCTCACTTGTCACATACAGCACCGCGCACATCAGTCTGCCCTCCCTCCCTCCCTCCCCCGGGGCAGGGACTTCCCTCTACTACAGCTGAAGAGAAGGGAAGGAGGAGGGAGGCAGAATCTCAGGGGGGAGCAAAAAAATGTGTGTAACTTTACACACACCACACACCCCTTTTCCCATTCATCATTTTCTGGCTCAGCACAAAGCTCCAGGGAGGGCGGGAGGGAGGGAGGGAGAGAGAGGGTTGCCTGTGAAGCCGTGGGCCAGGAACCAGACACTAGGCACAAGGCCCTGTAGTAGTAGAAGCAGCTAGTAATGGAGGGCATCAGACGATCCCCCTTTATCCTCATCCCTTCCCCCAACTCCCTGACACTGACTCCCCACCACAGAGGATCTTCCTGCACCCCCATAACCTCTCCCTACCCCCCATCCCTCCTCCCCACAGCATCCTTGGCTTGGCTGGGCCAGACCAGCAGAGCAAGACTGCTGAGGAGCACGTGGCTGGTTCTGGCATCATGTCATCATGGTGTGTCTGGCCAGGCAGCCTGGGGGATAACAGAGACCAGCCTCTCCAAAATAAATAGCATTTAGGGTGAGAACACCGACAAAACATAACACCCCCCTGACGAGAGAAGCAGCGGGGAGCAGATGACTGAGGACAGCCCCTTTTAGACTCCAGCATTAGACTGAGTTACCACAGAACAAACACACGGTATGTGCCTCTCATAGACAACCACAGGACGGCCTCAGCATACCAATATGTTTAGAATAAACTGAATGAGTGTTTGTGGTCTGAGGCGGCTGAGGGACGTTGACATCTAGGAGAGGACACATACCAAACAGACCAACACACACCAGGCTAAAGGACACGTCGATTCCCCACCTCGTCTTTACACACACACACACACACTTTGGTAAATGCCAGGAAGTATTCCCCCAGATATGCTCATGAAACTGTCGGAGGACACCACAGACACGCCTGTGACTTACTACCTTGGCAACGCTATCACTTACAGCTAGTTTATCCTAAGCCAAAACAGTGGTGATTTATAGAGGAAGGTGGCTCATATAGAGGAGATGATAAATGATGTTGTAAGATTGCCTTTTAACTTGACAATTAATAGGATACAGTAAAATATGCTAGTTTATGGCCCAGTTATATGGGGCAAGGAGGGAAATGAGAGATCTATGTGATAGAGAAATTAAACATTCATTCATTCATTCCAGTTGAATCAATGTGACTATCTATAACTCAAACTGAGCAGAGTCGGTATGGGAGGGAGGGAATGTGAAGTATTAGTTTGAGTGTCCAGCACTGACATGGGCTAGGGGGCTGATGCACACAGACACACACAAAGACACACACACAACACGGACCTGGGCTGGGGGGCTGATGCACACAGACACACACAAAGACAAAGAGACACACACAACACGGACCTGGGCTGGGGGGCTGATGCACACAGACACACACAAAGACAAAGAGACACACACAACACGGACCTGGGCTGGGGGGCTGATGCACACAGACACACACAAAGACAAAGAGACACACACAACACGGACCTGGGCTGGGGGGCTGATGCACACAGACACACACAAAGACAAAGAGACACACACAACACGGACCTGGGCTGGGGGGCTGATGCACACAGACACACACAAAGACAAAGAGACACACACAACACGGACCTGGGCTGGGGGGCTGATGCACACAGACACACACAAAGACAAAGAGACACACACAACACGGACCTGGGCTGGGGGGCTGATGCACACAGACACACACAAAGACAAAGAGACACACACAACACGGACCTGGGCTGGGGGGCTGATGCACACAGACACACACAAAGACAAAGACACACACACAACACGGACCTGGGCTGGGGGGCTGATGCACACAGACACACACAAAGACAAAGAGACACACACAACACGGACCTGGGCTGGGGGGCTGATGCACACAGACACACACAAAGACAAAGAGACACACACAACACGGACCTGGGCTGGGGGGCTGAATCTTGGGCTGGGTGGTCTTTTTGGCTTCGATGAAGAGATCCGGGGGCGGGTCCTCGCCACGTTCGATCTTGCACTCGAAGGCGTACAGACACTGGATGTACTGCTTCTTCAGAGAGCTGGCGGCGCTGCTGGACGTGCCCACGTTCAGGTTGGTGGACAACTCCCTCCACTTCTTATTCTTGTTCACCTGGTGGGCGGAAGGAGCGAGGAGAGATTACAACACCACAGCTACCCAATACAGTCCAAACTAGGTAACTATGTGATGTTCATAGAACAACTCTAAACTGCTGTAGAAAAATGGAGTGACAATAAGACAAGATTATCAGGCAAATAATGATGTCGGTATACTAAAACACACAGATACACGCAAGCACAGACACACTAACACGCTATACACAAGTACTGACCTGTGTGAGGCCTCCTATCTCTTTGACTGAGACGTAAAGTCTGAAGAGGTCCAGAGGTTTGCGTCCCACGGCGGGAAGGTTGGTCATACCCGTGGCCTTCTCCTCAGTGAACGCCAGGTACCGGTCTACCCACGTCCTCCTCTCCGGCTCCGGACCCAGCTCATACAGACGAGTTATTTTCTCATTGGTCGTCGTCGAAGAGTTTGACTTCTGAAAGAGGGAGATGGGAGGAGGAAGAGGTGAGGATTTGGCATGATATTCACCATTGACTTCAACTTACTTCCACTCATTAAGCAATAGTAGTAGAATCCCAATACTAGGTCAGCCATATTGAGTGTACCCATGAGGTTACCAGTCAAATTGCCATGGTCAGAGGGGCTTTGACCATTCTAGGGATTCTATTTCTATACACAAACACAACCATGCAGCTCTCTCATTCTGACTGTATCATTCAGTACCACAAGTCGTAACCACAAACCTTCTTTACCTTCTTGGTTTCAGGTTTGGGCGTGCCGTCCACCTTGTTGTTCATCTTCTGGGCTGGGTTCAATTTGACATCGATGCCAAACTCAGGGCTAGGAGCCATGCCTGGCAGATGGAGAACAAATGTTACTTATTAGTTAAGTAACATTTCAATCCAATTCATTGACAATTCTATACCATTTCAAATATCACATCAGATGATATGCCAAAAGCAAAAATGTTGTCCACTTGAGTTGGGTGATAGAAAAATGTCCAGATGCAACAGACTCACCAGGTGTGTTGTTGGCCATGTTCCCTCCCATGGGCCCTACTCCGTAGGGTCCTCCCTGGTTCATCATGCCCTGCATGCTGTTGATAGCCCCCGGCCCCGGGCCGTACGAAGATCCTACTCCCATCATCCCCTGGGGCATGTTGGGGGGGTAGCCTGGAGGCCTGAGGGGGCAACAACAACAGAAATCCATTCACAATGGTTACGATACATGACACAGTTATAAAACAACATGGCAATATTCAAAACATAAACGAAAGAATATCGTCGCTGTCGGATGAAAACCTCGTAACGAAAACGTATTCAAAATACCTGTCAAGTTTCATAATTGTATGTTCGTCAATGGGAAAATATGGCTGTTTTTTCCATTTCCTGAAAAGTGTGTGTTTTGGAGATAAAAGGTTTTCATCCGACGAAATTAATAATTTCTAACAAACAAAACCAACTAAATGTCTGAATACTGTATTTCTCATCCCTCCCTTTACTTACAGAGGCCCACATCTGCCTAAAATCCCTTGTTATCTACTTCCCTTTTTACCTTCCCTCTCTGCTCAACATCCTCAGTGGACACCTGGGTTGTGTTCAGTAGGGCACACCATAGTAAAACACTTTAAAAAAGTAAAAAAATAAAGAGTATTTCTCCCTGTTTCAAAACGTTTTACTCCCTACTAAACAGGGCCGTCTTAACTCCTGATGTACCCGTCTGGGTCTCCGGGCTTCTCCACCTGTCCGTCTGTCTGTCTGTCTCTGGAGCTGTTTCTCTGCTCTGAGGCTCAGCTGACTTCCTGACTGAACAACTGTGCGACTCACTGCCTGGATCACTGTTTTCATAAGCCACCTCCATTTCCTCTCTGTCCCTGTGTTCTGTGTTACCCTGCCTGACTGGTAGACTGACTGGTCTACATCTTAGCTGTTCGGCGCACACCTGACCTCTCCTCTCACACACAGCAGACAATGGGGTTTTCTTTCCAACAAAGAGATGAACCATGTAATACTGAATGGCACGCAATGCTGAACTGTCTCCTAAAGCAGCAATACTGTGTCGTTGAGTGCAGACCAGGCGGCCTACCTGTTATGTATAGAGTTGGCTCCGGGGCCACCGTGGTGCATGGCGGAGGCTGCATCCGGAGGGCCCCCGGGGCCCTTCCTGTTCATGCCTGGAGGGGGGCACATCCCAGAGGTCACCTGTGGGGGCATGCCAGGGCCCATATTGGGGCCCATCCCAGGGCCGGGGCCGTAGGGGCGAGCACCCATCTGACCCGGACCCATCCTGCCAGGGGGCATGCCTGCGTACGGCGCCCCACCAGCCTGGCCTGGCATAGGGTTCATGCCCCCTGGACCTCCAGGGTAGTTGGCGTTGGGCATGCCACTGTAGCCGGGCTGTCTGGGGTAACCTGGAGGGTGGGGAGCGAGAGAGAGAAAGACATCAGGGGACTGTTCTAGAGGGCACACCGTCATTTGTCCATGTAGTACCTCCCTATTTCACTCAAGTTTCAAAATGTTGTATTTTTACTGTATACAACCCAGGTCTTACTCTAACACAGCAATAGTCCTAAACCTAAATAAGAAAAAGGACTTAACAGCTAGGCCTACTATTTGAGTTTAAAAAGGAGGATGTTTCTATTCAAGCAGATAGATCGATACCTGTGGTGAATCTTTAGGTTTCTATTCAAGCAGATAGATCGATACCTGTGGTGAATCTTTAGGTTTCTATTCAAGCAGATAGATCGATACCTGTGGTGAATCTTTAGGTTTCTATTCAAGCAGATAGATCGATACCTGTGGTGAATCTTTAGGCCTGTTGTATGTAGCCTGTGGTGAACCTGCCTCATAGAAACCTTCTAGCCTCCGACATATAGAAACCTGGCTGGGAGTTTCTGTGGTCCACGTCTAAATTTAACTCCACAGATATGGTCTCTCTCTCAGTTTCTGTTCTGACATGCTAGCTGATGACAGAGGGTGTAGATGCTGGGCTAGAGTCTGATTCGATGAGTAATCTGTCTCCATACTTCTTCAAAGACTGTGGAAAAAAAGTCCTCTGAGGGAGAGAGCTAGAGAAAATCACATATTTTTATACATCTATTCTACATTTAAAATGCAGCTTCAAAAGGTTCTCTGTATCTAGGCTACCTCAGAAACACTGGTGGTTGTAGGACAATTGAAAAATCTTTTGGAAGATTAGAATGTTCTGATCTTTTTTAACGGTCCAGAGAGCAATAAAAGGCTATAAAGTACAGTGCTCCTACTATCTCGACAATCAATGGCTTTACGATCAGGACGAGCTCTGTGTGTATGTTACAGCAATAGCACGTTAAAGCAGCAAAGGGGAGCACATGGTTACTACAGGGCTTCAGTAAGAGCTAGAATAGGAGGATCATATCCTGTTGACACTTTTATTTCCCCTTCTCTTCCTCCCCCACTCCTTTCACTAAGCTGTGAGAAAATCGTTCAGCAGCTCTTAACAGACATGGATACTTCGGGATTTTGGCAATGAAGCCCTTTATCTACTTCCCCAGAGTTAGATGAACCGATGGATACCTTGTTTATGTCTCTGCATCCAGTATGACGGAAGTTAGAGGTAGTTTCGCGAGCCACTGCTAACTACAATTAGCGCAATGACTGGAAGTCTATGGTATTTTCTAGCATGCTAGCAGTTACCATAGACTTTCAGTCATTGCGGTAACGCTAGTTAGCAACTGCGCTAAAGCTAGTTAGCAACTTCCTTCAAACAGCACGCAGAGACATAAAAAATTGTATCCATGAGTTCATCTGACTCTGGGGAAGTAGATAAAGGGCTTCATTGACAAAATCCTGAAGTATCCCATTAAAACCAAGGTGCATGTAGCCTTCCATCAGTGGTTTTACTCACATGGAGCACCAAAAAACAATGCGTAGCTGCTATCTGTTTGTATGAGGTCTACATAGTTGTGACCGTATCTTCCTAACATTTATTTAACCAGGTTAGTCTCCTTTTCAAGAGAGACCTGGAATCTTTTGGCCAGTCATCGTTATGCGGGACAGAACCAACTTAATGACTTCATTGTGTACGAGCTGTGTGTACGGGGCTTCACCTTGTGGTCCGTACTGTCCGCCCTGAGGGCCGTAGTTCCCCATGGAATTATTCTGAGGGTAGGGCCCCATCCCAGGATGCATCTGGCCTCCCGACGACTGGCGAGGGGATAAGGCGGAGCCAGGTTGCTGCGGTGACCCGTACGGAGGCATCTGAGGGTTACGCATGTACACTACAAAAGAGAGAGAGAGGATGGAGGACAGGAAAAAGTTAGCTACACTCTTTAATTTACACACAGCAGCCATAGAAGTGTAGTCTTCGTCTCCTAAAAGCCCATCGAGGGACGGGTGTTGAATGCCAATCTGTCCTTATCCAAACCATAAATAAGTAAGGTGATTTGTAGATCGTGCTGGCTGCCGTCGCCCGTGCCAGGGTAGTCGATCTCAAACACGACCTATATCTTTTCCTACTCACCCCTGTCCTGGCCGATGGCTGACTGGTTCATGGACGAGTGGAGGATGCCGTCTGAATGGACGCTGGGCGGCCGGGGAGGCATCTGGTTACCTGCGTGATCATCATCAGAGAGCACCAGAGAGATTCAGACCCACTGGGCATCATAACAAACAGACCATGCTTCTATATCTTACAACAAAGTGATGTTTTACACCGGCTTTAGGAAGCTGGACGTGCACTATGTGATAGGATATTACTGCTTCCCTCTGGAAACCAACATCAGCGGCTCTATAGACCACTCATATATGCTAACACGTGTGTGTCTCTCTCTCTCTCTCTCTCTCTGTGTGTACTAACCTGGCACGGCAGCAGGTGAGAGGGGTCCAGAGCGGGAGGGGGTGACGCTGACAGGGGAGCCCACAGGGGAGGGGGAGGGCCCGCGTATGCCAGGCAAGTGGGGCGAGGTGTGAGGTGAGAAGGGTGACTGGGCGGGGTTACTCTGTTCCCCCTGGCTACTGGACACCCCCGACGTGCTGACGCCCGGACTCAGAGCCCCCTCCGTACCCGTCGGTAGGTCATCTATGGAACCAGACAGGTCCTGGAACGAGAGGAAGAGAGAGTTAGAACCACAGAATGAATCGAGAAACAGTATTTCTTTATTTGGAAGACATGGTTTTGGTTATTCAATAGACAGTGTGATGTTCAATTGGATATTGTGGGTTGTACGGTTCAGACATATTGTGCAGCAAAAGCCAACAGTCATCACATCTGTCCAAAGTCTAGAGGGGATCCACATGACCAGAGTCCAGAGAAGAAGACCATAACCCACCAGCTCCCTTTAGAGAGAGGCTGTGAGATCCATCTCAGCAGAAACACTGCAATCCTGTGTTCAATTCAGAAACATCAGCGTCACCATTTATCCATCTGGCTATTCAAAATACATTGCGGAGATGACATTTTATCCAGTTCAGGATTCAGTCAGGCCCTAATGCCATGGTGTGGTAATGATATTGGCAGGAGAGGTGAGGTGATGATTGTGTTTGAGCAGGAAGTTGAGTTGTTTACACACGCTGTCTGTAGTCACGTGGATCCCATGTGCTCCTCTCCTCTAACCGCTAGCTAGCTCATCTGACAGTCACATCAGAGGAGGAAGGAGGGAGTGAGGGAAAGGAGAGAAAAAAAAGAGGTGAAGGGAGGAGGTGGAGAAAAAACACTCACTGGAAGGTGGCCAAGTATTCCCACAAAAATCTCACACTGTGGCAGGCAGGCAGAGAGGCTGGCTGCGGCCCCGAAGCTGGCAGTTTTCAAGTTGAAACGGCGCCCGGTGCTATTTTTGGGCTGTGACCTGACGGAGCACCCGAGAGGGGCCGACAGAAGGAGGACGATGATTCAGCAACCCTCGCCTCCCATCCCTCCCTGTCTCGTTCTCTTAATGCCTCTCTCTCTGCCAGCACAGAGCTGTAAGTGGCGTGACCCACGCAAGAACATGGCATTTTAAGCATGAGCATGTGTGTGTGTGAGAAGGAGTGTGTGTCTGTGTATGTAATTCCACTCTATAGTAGTGGTCTTGCCTTGGACATTACGAGAATGTGTGTATGTGTCTCAAGAGTGTCTGCCCTTTCTGTGAGCAACCCAGGGGGGTTCAAGTGGATAATAAAACGCTCAGATTGGGGGCTTGATCAAAAAGTCAAGAGGCATTCCTGGTTAAAGAGCCATGTCAGGATCTGAACAGTGTTAGCTGACCTCCCCCACTCTGGGCACAGAACACATCACAAGACCAGTCATCTGACAGCAGGGCTGACGGGAGGCAGGGAAAGAGAGAGAGGCAGCCCAGGTAAAGCAGTCATTGGTAGCATTCTACCCAGGGCCCAGCCCCAGTCCTGCCTGCATGCCTACCTCCCTGCCTGAGGGCCCCACTCCATCTCAGAGAGATAGCAAGAGAAACTCCATCCCACCAAGGCCACAAGGCAGGTGTTATGGTCAGAGGTGAGGGGTTAATCCTCTAAGGCTGTGCTCTGTAGTCTTCTCATTGACAGGTCACATACAGTGAGCTCCAAAAATGATACAATGACCATGAGGTTGACGTGCAGACTGTCAAGCTTTAATTTGAGGGCATTTTCATCCATATCAGGTAAACCCTTTAGACATTACAGCACTTTTTGTACATAGTCCCCCCATTTTAGGGGACCAAAAGAATTGGGACAAATTCACTTGTTTATTAAAGTAGTGAAAAGTTTAGTATTTGGACCTATATTCCTAGAACACAATGATTACATCAAGCTTGTGACTCTACAAATTTGTTGGATGCATTTGCTGTTTGTTTTGGTTGTGTTTCAGATTATTTTGTGCCCAATAGAAATTAATGGTAAATAATGTATTGTGTCATTTTGGAGTCACTTTTACTGAAAATAAGAATATAATATGTTTCTCAACACTTCTACATTAATGTGGATGCTATCAGGATTACGGATAATCCTGAATGAATCTTGAATAATAATGAGTGAGAAAGTTAGATGCACAAATATCATACCCCCAAGACATGATATGTGTGCGTCTGTACATTTCTCTCTCATCATTATACACGATTCATTCAGGATTATCCGTAATCATAGTAGCATCCACATTGATGTAGAAGTGTTTAGAAACATATTCTATTCATATTTACAACAAAAGTGACTTCAAAATGACAATACATTATTTACCATTCATTTCTATTGGGCACAAAATAATCTGATTTGTAGAGTCACAAGCTTGATGTAGTCATTGCGTGCTATGAATATGGGACCAAATATTTAACTTTTACTACTTTAATACACATAAGTGAATTTGTCCCAATATTTTGGTCCCCTAAATTGGGGGGACTATGTACAAAAAGTGATGTAATTTCTGAACAGTTTACCCGATATGGATGAAAATACCTTCAAATTAAAGAAGAACAACGCTATTTGGCTGGCAGCCACATAATTAAATGAGCTTACAATGAAAAAGCAAGGTCTTTCTTGCAAAAACAATGAATGACCATCATATTTTCTAATGTTTAACATAGAAAGAATGCTACATTTCCTAATGTTTTGCTTGAAGTTAATCTTGCATTTTACCAGAGGAAAGTAGGCTACACCAAGAAAAGGAGGCTACATCGCCAAAAGTACCTGGGAAAAAAGTAGCTACACATGGGAAGGGAGACACTGAATGTGACAAGAGGTATGGTCCTCCTAGTGTGGGGCTTAGACAGAGAACAACTGAATAACCAGTTATTGTGCACGACGCACACACACACTGCCTCTTTAAAATTCCCCAATAATCTCCCCCAACCAAAACTGTCAGCTGTGATCCCTGGATACAGCCAGCGCTGTGTACACACACACACACACAAACACACACACACACAGAGCCTCTGCCTAGCTACACTACTCCCACTCCACAGCCAGTCATTGATTTTCTCCAACTCGATATTAGCAGCAGCAGAGAGAGAGAACCCTGAGAGAGAGCCCTGCTCTGCTCTGTCCTGTTAAATTGTGCTGACTGCACAGAGCTGCTGGCTGCCTGGACACAGAGAGAGAGAGAGCTTAACACTGGGCTGGCAGCACTCTACCTACTGCTGCCATTCACCAGATGGCCACTCATCACAGAGAGAGATAGAGAGAGGGAGGGAGAATGAGGTAGAGTAGAGAGAGGATGGTGCAGTAAAGAGGGGCTGGGGGCAAAGAATATTGACCAAAACAAAAATGACCAAATACAAAACAGACCCCTATCCGAGCCCCGACAACAACCCAAATATGTTACGTACTAAGGCTAAGCTAGCACAACGTGGGAGAGAGAGTGGAAGCCAGTGCTGCAGCTCCTCTATAGCACCATCTCTCCCTCTGCTCGGTGGCAGCCATTTTGTGTTCCCAGCTAACATGGGAACTTCCATAGTGTTTGATTCCATCTTTTAAAACGAGAAAACAGCCAGACTAAAATAGAAAAGTGCTTGTAAAAAATGTCTACAGACAAAAATGTTAACAAAAAACGATTCTAAAATCCCTAAGGTCCAGTCTTAGGAGACTAATTTCACCCAGTTTTCATAGTAAGTAGCCATGTTGTGTCTAAAGCAGCCACTAGCATAGCCATACTGCTCCACAGTCTCCTGCTCCCATCCCAGTTCAAGTCACTCCACAGTCTAATGTATTCCATTTACAGATTACTTCAGTGAATCAATCAGGCTAAACTCCAGCCCATTAGTCTACACTACAGTCTGAAATGGAACGTTATTCCCTATTTAGTGCACTACTTTTGACCAGAGCTCTATGGGCCCCTCCTCGCTGGGCCCATAGAGCTCTGGTCAAAAGTAGTGCACTAAATAGGGAATAACGTTCCATTTCAGACTGTAGTGTAGACTAATGTGCTGGAGTGCCATTTTAGACACGACCCATGAGAAGCAGAAAGTAGGGGAAAGTAGAGGTGGTTAGTGTGAGTGTGCTGTGACATCACCAGTCAGTAAGATAATGTAACCTAGCTGCTATCTGGAGGCTAGGCTGTGACCTGGTAAGGGCCAGTAGTGTAACATGATCTGGCGACTAGTGGGCTGGTGGTCCTGGAAGAGTTCAGCTCCCAGTCACCGACTCTCAACGACCCCCCCGCTCTCTCTCTCCGTTTCTCACTCTCTCCATTTCCCTCCGGCTTGCTTGCTCACCCTGTCTAGCTCATCCACTCGTTGCTTGCCAGGTTCTGTTCTCAGACCTCTGTACACACACAGACACACACACACACACACACACAGGCTTTGGGGCTAATACACACACACACACAGTAGACGGGGCATAGGGACATGTACGCCTGCACATATGCTCTGTCATCCTCTCCAGAGAGGTGA